TCCTTGCGGGAAAGTAAACGCACCATTATTCTCAGTTGAGGCAAGTATTCTATTACTTTGCTCTGTATGACCGCCTTTGCGATTGCTCTCATTCAAAAAATAAAATTCTAATGGAATTACAAAAAAAACATTTGCTAATCGCGATTGCCATAGGTTGTTTAGTGCTTTATTATTATGGTTCGCATAATATCCCTTATACGAAATATTTGCCACTGATTGGTGGTGGTGCTTATGCCTTAAATTTTTTAACTAATCTCGCTAAATAGAATTATGTCTTTTACTAAAAAAGAAACCCAAAACGAAAATAAATCTCTTGCTAAACCCCAGAGTAGTTTTTTGGAATCCTTGGCCAGAATGTTGCCACTACTTACTTTAACCTTCGAGCAATTTACCGGTCAACCCATTCCCCAAATGAGTGGCACCATTGCCGATATAGCGGCTTCTTTGCTTCAAATCCAACAAACCCAGCAAACTATTTTGCAAAAGATTACGGATTTAGAAAAAAATTGTGCCGAACAATTTATCCACCAAGAACAGCAATTAACTTCTTTACAAAAAGTCAGTGCCTTAGTCAGCACGGAAAAAACCAAAGCCATTCATTTTGCCAACCCTAAGAGTGAAATCATTAACGAATAATCATTATGTTTAACGATTTAAAGACTGAATTAACAGAAATTAAAAACATTTTACGAGAAATTAAAGAGATATTAAAACAAAAATAAAATGCTAACAAACGAACAAATCACCCCTTATAAAGACACGTTAATTCTCTACACGCTAACGGCCTCCATAATCCTAATTTACGCGGGCTTTGTCTTGATGGGAATTGACAAATTAAGAAATCCAAAAAAATAAAAAACTATGTTTAAATCCAAAAATAATAATCAAAATAATCAAAACGAAAACGAAAATAACGAAAACGAAAACAATAATTCCTTATGAAGTTGAATTAACGGCAAAGCCGGCAGCATCGCTATTGGTTTAGCCGCTGGCTATGCTCTCTATAAATTTGGTATCCTCCAAAAGTTATTGAAAGGCGTAGGCCAAATGTTCCGCAAAAAAGATGAAAATTCTGACTCCTCTAATTCTCAATCCACATCTATTTAACATGAACGCTCCTCTAATCATTAATCCTAATTCTGTGAAATTGCTTTTATGACAAAATGTTTATCCGAATAGTAAAGAGATTTACTACACCTTACAAATTGGCGAACAGAGATTTATTAGTTCGGTGCGGAAAGATAAAAAAGGGGCCGCTTATTGGCGGTTTCGGGATTATAAGAAGTCGGACAAGGGTCCGGTAGAAAACTCAGTTTCGGTGCCACAAAACACCACGGAAACTGCTATTAATCCTCCCACTATTGAGAATAACCATGTGTAATCATAAAACAGTGAAAGTTTTTCCGGCTCCTGCTCCCAAGGTTAAAAAAACTAAAAATCCCGCAGCTTATTATCAATGTTTACTTAATGCAATCCAACAAGGATTAGCGGGCCGTCCGATAACCGAACTTTGTCGTAATTGTAAGATAAATAGTGTTGGTTTGGCTCAAAGCCGTAATCAGCAAATAAGTAATCTATTGAATGCTTATCGGCAAATTGGCGAGGCTTTGAGTGAGTTGCTGATTCCTATTGCCGAATAATGGTATTAGGATTTAGTTTGCCGGACTGAAAAGGGGCTTTACAGGAAAGTTTACGGGATTATGTAAAAATGCCATTGGAAACCAAGGCACGGGAATTACAGGAGCAATTAACGAAAAAGTTTGAGGAAATGGGAGCGGATAACCGAGCCTGACAAAAAGCCGTGGTGGCGATATTGTTAGCAAGTTTTTTGGTGGGAGTGGTAGTTTGGACTTGACCTGAAAATAATCATGACTAAGGAAAAATTGCAACAGGAAATTAAAGAAAAAGTAAAAGGAGGAGTAAAACCCAGTGATATCAAGCGGTTAAAAAGAAGCAAAAGCACTGGTGATATTTCAGTTAATCCCGAATTAACCACCTTAAAAGCCGAAAATGAGGAATTGAAAAAGAAAATTCAGGAGTTAGAAACACGAAATATTGAAAATATTAGTGTTGTCGGAGACCAGAATAAGGAAATTTTTGTAGATGCGGCCGAGGAAAGCCCTGCGGAATTAAAAGTCAAAATTAGTGAGTTGGAAACGAAGTTGTCAGAGACCCAAACGGAATTAGATAAAGCCAACGAGGCACGTCTTAACGCCCTTAAAGACTTTGATAAGCAACAGGAAAAAATAAAGAAATTGGAGCAAGAATTAGAGTCTACCAGCAAATATGGCTCCGAGCAAATTGTTAAATTAGAAAAGATTAATCGGGATTTAAGAAAAGAAAAAGGATTGTTATCCGAACAATTAAAATTGACCGAGCAAGATTTATCCAATTATCAAAGAATAAATGAATTGCGGTTGGGAAAAAAAAGAAGTATCCGACGGATGAGATAAACACGGACCTATTATTCCGCTGCTAGTTTTAGCGACCTTAGCCATTTATTTAGCCAGTAAAAACAAACCTCAATAATTATGAATGACTTATTATTTTACGCACTGATGATGGTGCTGCTTTACTACTTTTTTATTTATTTGCCTAAAAAGAAATTAGCCGCCAAGACAACCGCATCAGCAAGCACGCAAACTGATTTAAAGGATAAGCAAATCATCAATCTTATTCAACAATGGGAGCAGGTGGCTCACTGAGCCAAAGAGGAAGGAATAGATGTTAATAAGAAGTGGAATTTAGGGATGTTGAAAAGCAAATTAGCCTCTAATAAACCCGGTCCGCAATTGGAAAAAAGTTTGGATGACTTAATTAAACAAATGCAAGATTTAAATAAGCAATTATAAATATGAAACAAAAATTAGAATTACTAAATAAAGAATTTGCTACTCTGAAACAGAAAATTAATGCTAAATTACAGCAAAAAGAACAGGCCCTAACAGAAAGCAATAATCGCTGCCAAGAAAGCAATCGCCAGTTAGAAACCGCCTTAAAAGAGAATAGAGAAAATGAAAAAGTATTGGAGCAATTAATTAAAGAGATGAAGGAGTTAGGGGAACAATTAGGATAATATGTTGAGAGAGAAAGCTTTGGAGGAATGAAATAGTTGTAAACAAAAAATTGCTCAAC